TGATGGCAAGGTTTGACGAAAAAGAAGAAAAGGGTTTTGTGAAATACAAAATAAATTAGGCTCAGAATAGGAAAGTATTATGATGGAAGATAATAAAGAGCATGTAAACAAAATTATGGTATTCTATGATGTAGAGTCTGTAGAAGGTCTTATCACAGCACAAGAAGAGGAATATCGGCCTATTTCTGATTTATTTGATTATTACTATGAAAATAGAAGCTGCACTAATATTAAATATAATATTAGAGAAGTCGAAGACAACCAAAGGAAGCAATTGTTTAAATTGCTTAAGAATAATTCTGATTTGTGTGTCCAAGATATTTCTGAGTTAGGCCGAACTAATATAATTCAGCATCATATTCCTACCCAAGATGTTTGGCCAATTCGACAACAATCATATCAATATTCTCGAGCCGAAAAACGATTTCTCAAGAAAGAAATTAATAACATACTAGATGAACAAATTATTCAACTATCTACAAGCCTATAGGCATCACCAGTTGTATTAGTGAAACAAAAAAATCGAAAAATATAATTTTGTGTTGACTATAGGAAATTGAATGCTATAACTATTAGAGATAACTACCCATTACCTCAAGTCAATGAACTTTTAGATGCTTTGAATAGATCATCATGGTTTACCTCATTGGATTTAACAAGTAGATATTGGCAGGTTGAAATATTTGAAGATGACAAAGAGAAAACCGCTTTTATTTCTCTGTATAGGCTTTACGAATTTAATATCATACCCTTTGGTCTTATGAATGCCTCAGCTACATTTTAGAGACTAATAGACCAAATTTTTAGTGACATAGTTGAAAGGTTTGTTGTAGTATATCTTGACGACCTTAACATATTTTCGAAATCATTTGAAGAATATTTGAGCATTTAAAGGAAGTATTTGAACGATTACAGCAGGCAGGTTTAAAAATTAAACTGCAAAAATGTTATTTCACCCAGAAAGAATAAAATTCTTGGGATACGTCGTAAGCGTACAGGGGATTTTTACGGATCTGGACAAGGTTCAAGCTGTTCAAGAATTTCTGATAGCTCAAAACTTGAGTCAACTACAAGAATTTCTGAGATTAGTATCTTATTATCGTGATTCATCTCAGACTTTACTAAAATCACTACCCCTTTGAATTCATTATTGCGCAAAAACATTGGATATCATTGGGCAACAGGTAACAAGAGGCCTTCGAACAACTAAAAGAAAAACTTGTTGCAGCTCCGATTTTAGCATATCCAAATTTTTCAAAGCCCTTTATTCTTTTTACAGCTGCATCAGGATTAGCTTTAGATGCTATTCTTTCTCTATTAGATAATAATGATAAAGAAAGAGTAATAGCCTATACAAGTCAGTCTTTAACACCAGCTGAGAAAAATTATTCAGTAACAGAAAAAAAGTGTCTTGCCATTGTTTGGACCATTTCATATTTTTGACCTTATCTTTACGGAGCTTCCTTCACTCTTTATACCAATCATTCCGCACTAAAATCACTATTTTCTCATCGATTACCCCAAAATCGACTGGCCAGATAGATCCTGACCTTGTAGAAGTATATGTTTATAACCATTCATAGATCTGGAAAAATCTATCTTAACACTAATAGTCTTTCACGGATATAGGATAATCGATTTTTTTAAAAATATCTTCACTTTAAATTTTACGACACCGATTTCAGATTACCCAAATTTTGATTAACGGAGACTTTATAGATTTAGATGCATATTATTTATTTTTAAGGTACATTAATGAGTCTACAGTACCTTCTAGTTATACGAGTACTCAGATTAGAATGATAAAGCTTAAAACATGTCATTATCTTGTTTGAGTAGGACTATTATACAAAAAGAATCCCCAAAACCCTCTCAGACCATTACGAATATTGAAGCCACAAGAGGTCGAACTCATCTTGTATGCGATGAATTCAGATCTATTAGCTGGACATTTCAATAAGGAAGCGATGTATCAATGAGTTATTACTCGATATTTTTGGCTACAGATAGGGAACGATATTTGAGATTACGTTTCATCATGTGACTCATGCCAAAAAAGAGGAAAGCCTACTACTAGAGAGCCTCTTCACCCTATTCGTATTGGTCAACTTTTTGATTGAATAGGTATAGATATTGTTAGACCACTTCTAGTTACTACGAAAGGGTATCAATACATAGTTGTAGCAACAGAGTATTTGACCTGATGGCCAGAAGCCCGTGCGATTGAACAAGCCGATGCTGAATCAGTAGCCACTTTCTTTTTTGAGAATATTATTTGTCGTCACAGGAGCTCACGTAAATTACTCTCAGATCAAGGAACCTATTTTTGTAATAAAGTCGTAGATGCATTGTGTCGAAAGATGAATGTTTGATGTTCCAAATCGACAGCTTATTACCCTCAAACGAATGGGTTGGTTGAGCGCTTTAATTGAACATTGTGTGAAGTTTTAGCTAAGTGTATTAGATAGTATTCAGGTAACTGGAATAATTATATCCCCGCAGCACTTTTTGCATATCGAACAAACAAACATTGTGTTACCAGTATGAGCTCTTTTTCCTTATATACAGTCGGGATGCCTTGTTACCTATAGAAACTGTAATTTCAACTTATCTAAACGAACCAATTACTGAGAAGGAATTACAGAATCAAGTGCTATGACGAATAGAGAGCTTGATAAGAAAGTTGACTGAATCATGTTATCAGGCTAAAACTAATATTGAAAAAGCTCAGGATAAACA